TTCCCAACTCTTACTGCATCCAAGTACTGTCATGGAGGACTGAACGGGAGTCTGTGGGAGAGAAACAGACAAAAATCTGCGTGGGGCATCTTGATAACATATTGAAAGGAACATTACAATCCTAGGGATGAGATGTGGATTAAAGTGCTTTTTTCTAATACACATTAAATCTAGTACCTCCAATGTGAGGTACTAAAGGAATGCACAATAATGAACACACACAGGTTTTAAAGTGATGCTTTACTGCACAGTAAAATAAGTTACTTCACATTAAAGTGCATGTGTAGATGTGCCCAGAGACAGATAAACACAGAATCTCCCCTGTGCTTTGGTGGGATCTCAGAGCTGCTCCCTTTCTGAGCCAGGTGAATCCTGGAGAAAGGAGATGTCCCAGTTCATTCCCCAGCTGGGGCAGATCCTACCAATATCATGATCTACCAAAAATACCATGCCTCCTTGTACTGAGTTCTACTGTTAATGCTCTGATTTTTTTTTTTGTCTCTCTCCCTCCTTCCCCACTCCCTTCTCAGAGATTTTGACTCTAGATGCAGAAACAGCTCATCCCATCCTTGTTTTGTCTCATGATCTGAAAAGTGTAAGATGGGGACAGAAACGGAAGATTCTTCCTGAGAATCCCAAGAGATTTGACACCTGGCGCTGTGTGCTGACCTGTGAAGGATTCACCACAGGGAAACACTACTGGGAGGTGAGGGTGGAGGGCAAGGGAGACTGGGTTGTAGGTGTTGCCAAGGAGTCTGCAGGTAGGAAAGGATTCATCAATTTTAACCCTGAGTATGGGTTCTGGGCTCTGCAGAAGTGGGGAGGTCAATGCCAGGCTTGCACCTCCTCTGTGACCCACCTCACCCTGAATAAAAACCCCACCATCATCCAGGTCTATCTGGACTGTGAAGGAGGACGGGTAATATTTACTGATGTTGTTAGTGAGACCCATATCTTCAGTTTTCCCAAGGCATCTTTTGAGGGGGAAAGAATCCTTCCTTGGGTTGGGCTGGGAGTAGGATGTGGGCTCAAACTGTATCCCTGAGACATGGCTGGAAATCGTACTGAAGGGTCTTAAATCAAATATTCTAACCCAATGGTTCTCAAACTTTTTGGACTCAAGGCACCCCTGATTTGACTCATTCAACTCAAAGCACCCCTCCATGACTTTTTTTAATGCATTGAGGATACCCCCATTTAAAACTATCTGTTAAAGTGTTTATTTCTGTTAGGGTGACAGTATTTGGATTTTGGGGAGCACTGGATTTATTCCGTGTCTCAGCAAAAGCTGCTGATCACAAGGCAGATTGATATATTAAAAATAACCTTGCAAATGCTTAAGCAAGCAGTCTTCTAATAATGGGATAGTGTGTAGCATATATGGGTTGTTATGGGTGTAGCATATATGGGGTTGTCCTGGGGAAGAGCTTATGGGGTTGTTCCTGCTGCAGCCCAGCTAGGTGATTTTTCTGCCTCCCCTGGCAGCAGCAGACTTCAGCCTTTATATACTGTGTTCTCAAAATGACTGCCACCATCAGGCACCTGGTGGATGCCTGACCCAGCCCTTAACGTGGCAGGCACCAACAGTGCCCTGCCACAATAGTTAATTAAGGATTGAATTAATGAGTATATAACATGGTGCCTAAGTTATTAGCTGCTTATCCATTGATTTAAGCATCCTTTAAGTATAAATAGTTCTCAACTGTTATTCTTGTATTAACTCATCCTTGTACATTGTAAATAGAGAATTTCAAACTTTTGATATTTTTTAATGTTTGTTGGCATGTAACAATTACCTCCTGTATATAATTCAATTTTGTAAATAGTTATTTATGAGTCTGCAAGGTCTTTCCATTGTAAAGGGAGCCTCTCCTCTCAGGGAGCCTCCGGCCACTCCTAGGTGAGCTGAGCAGGGGGTAGAGCTACCTGATACCCCAGGTCCCGAACAATTAGACACAGCCATGGATAGTACCATGCCCCAAGGGTCAGTGGCAATGCATAGTGGGTGCACAGGGGTGCACGTGTGCCCCCTGAGAGCACTGGTGCACCCCCTGACAGGCTGTGCTTCCCGCTTAGGTAATGGGCAGGGGGAGCAGGTGGGAGTGCTGGTATCCCCCCCCGTGAGCACTGGACGGGGAGTGGGAGCACTTCTGGGAGTGCTGCAGCTACTTCCTGTGTTGGTGCAATTGGCCGCTGGGGGAGCCCGCCAGTCAGCGAGATTGGCCATGAGGTCCCCCCCTTCCCTGGTCACTGAATGGCCCATGCCAAAGGTTACAACAGGAGTACTCTGGGCTCATTGCTGCAGTACAAGCAATTGCAATGTGTTGCTATGAGGTGACAGGAAGAAGGAACTATCTAGCAAACAGCTTCTCTGAGATGGAAGATAGCCCCTAACCCAGTGCATTTTCACCACTAATGTATCCCAGGCAAATTCTACACTGGATCTGAGTGAATATCACTTGTACAGTGGTGTGTGTCCTCATTCTTTACTCCAGTGTAAATGTCGTTTACACAGGTGTTAATGTGTCATGTGTCCAGGGATTCATGTAACTCTGGATGTTTCCATTCACCATTAAAATGCTCAGTCCCCTTTGTCAGGATCTGGCTGTGCTTTCCATTGCCACAGTGCCTTGTAGAGCACTGTCCATTTGTGCCAACACTCCAGCTCAAAGGAGGACTCTGGGCTGGTGGGGAGTGAGGTTGGCATCACTCTCACCTGGTCCACGGGGGTGATCCTGGCCTGGTGTTGGTTCAGGAAGTTGGGATGTTTTTCTCTAAGGGCCACCAGGCACTGATCCCAGCCAAGGAGACACAAGGCATGGAGCATTAGTGCCAGATGGAGGTGAAGTTCTTCCCTTTATCAGAGATCAGGGAACATTTTCCTCCATACCCAGCCCGGCCCTTTGGAGACCAGGGATTTGGGGTCTCCCTGTGCAAGGCTGTAAGGAGACCCTGAGTTCCAAATGCATCCAGGGGCCTCAATCCTGCGTGGGGGAGACACCCCGAGAGAGTCTTAGCCCCTGGGGGCAGCTGAGACATGGCCCTGCCTGAGATAAGTGCATACAAGAGGCCCAGCCAGGTCTGGGATAGAGGGAAACCATGCTGTGATGCACAGTCAGTGACATGAACCGGCCGCAGGGGAAAACCAGCACCTTAAAAACAGTCACAGGCTAAGCTAGTGAGGGCATTAAACCTTCAGTGTATTTTAGGCTATTAAGTATTCTTAATGCTTCCTGAGACCATTGCCTGCTTGCTGGCAAAGCAGGGCAGGCATCTTACAATAGCCCCAAGGCACAGGTTTGAACCTGTTTTTGGACTCATGCCAAGGGCTGCCCCCCCGAGGACCAGCTAGACATGGTACCAGGCCATGTGGTTGGCCATGCCAGGCACCTGGATGCAATTCCAGACACATCCCTCCTATGGGTGTCATTGGTTACAGAGGTGAGCTGGCCTCAGCCCCTCCTACCACAGAGCCATCCTGCCCTGGCTGCACTGGAATTTTGACATTAACAACAAGGTTTTTGGCATCGTGACCAACATGCCCATGGGCCTTGGGCCTGGAGCATCATGTGCCAGGCTGCAGAAAGTCAGAGAAGAGAGACCTTCCCAGCAGACTGCATCATGGGTTGCAGGGAACCCCTCCCTGGGTCTGCAAGGGCATAGCTCTTTCCTTGCTGGCAGGGATAACAGGCAGGTATCACCCCCAGCTTCAAACCATGGCAGTGTTTTAAACCAAGTATCTCAAACTTGCCCAGAACTTACTAGCTGCTGAGGCCTGGCCCAGGATGCAGCCCTGTCCCCCCAACTCACCAGGAGGGGCAGCAGAAAGCTCCTTCTCCATGGAAGACAGCCCAAGCAAAGTATCTATATGTGACTTCAAGGCTAAAGCAGCAGCTGAGGCCTTGGGATACCTGGGGTCCTGGGCCCCAATCTGCCACTGTCCTGCTGTGGTAACCTTGGGCAATCCATTGCTCTGTGCCTTTGTTTCCCCATTACTCTGTGGTCCATTCTCTAAAACAGCTGGGGAGATCCTGCCTCCAGTATACAAAGCTTGGAGATCTGTCAACAGGTGAGGGGCTGTTATTTCCAGGAAGCCAGCTGCTTCCCCAGGGAATAAATGTGGGCAACCCCTGAAAAAGTGAAGACAGCTGGGCCTGGAGGGTAAAACACAGCCACAAATCCCAGCTGGGAGCTCATGACTCAGGGGGTCTCAGTAGCTCCACTCACCACTAGCTATGTAGCCCCACCACTCCTTCAAGGTCCCCATTTCTGCTTCTGCTGCCCTCAGAACTCATGCTGTTCCATTGGGAATGGACACAGAGCGTACCTCAGACTCCAGTCAGCCCTTCTGCACGTGTATTTGTGATGGCCGCTGAGGCACTAAGGCCTGTTCCACTCAGCTTCAGGGCCCTGAGCTACTGCCTCTGTCCAGATGTCCTAGAGAGACCTAGAATTCAGGACGTGACCATTGGGGTGGGCAGGACTGTGATATCATTCAATGTCAAAGCTTCATGATACCGTTCAACATCATGACCATAAATAGCAAAACCCTGGGGTCCTGTCCGTGCCCACAGGATATGAAAGACTTCCTTGGCTGAGCATCCTTCAGGACAGAGAGCTCAGAGCTGGATGGGACCCTCGTGTCACTGAATCTCACTTCCTGGATGGTACCGGGCCAGAAAGGTCCATGCAGCCATCTTCCCTCCCCATCCCTCTCATGTTCTGACCCCAGTAACTTGTGTGACTAATGTATCTTCCAGGAGTTAAGGCACCATAGGTATAGAGACTCCTTGTGGTGGGACATCAGGGGGTGCTCCTGCACTGAGACACCCACCTCACTGCACCCGACCAGTTTCCAGGCTCCGAGTGCCTCCATGGGGGCACCTCACATCTGGCTGACCCCCCTCCTGGAGCACACCCACAAGCCTGGGGGCAATGCCACCACCACCCAGAGTCTGGACTGGTCTTGGACCTGTGCCCTTTGGGAAACACAGGCCTAGCAGTCCTTGAGGGTACTTGACCCACTGTAAGAACTTGGGGTGCTTCCCTCAGTCTGAAGCACAAATAGTGGTCTCCCTTAGTCAGCTGAACCAAGGGAACCCCAAGGCATAATCTAGGCCCCTCTCCCATTAAGTCCCCATGCTAGGTACCAAGGAGAATTTTATTGGTTACAAGGAGCAGGTTTGGAATAGGGTCCAGGGTAGAGCAATATCAGAGAAATACCTTAGAGCAAACAGTGGCATGATAGCCTTTGATCATACATCTGAGTTACTGCAAGCTGTATATCTAGTTAGATCTCAGGTAGCTTACTCATGGGTAACATTCAGAGGTAGGTGGAGATTCCCTCTGGAGGCAGGCAGTTCATTGATCATAAGTTTCAAGAAAGAGAGTTTCAGATGGTCCAGCTTCTCTGAGAGTTTTCATCATGGCTGCTGCTCTGCCTCCTGGGCAGTCCTTCACTTATATAGCCCTTATGACCTCATTTACCTG